CCAACAATGATGATTCCTTATTACGTATTGATGCGTTTAGACTTCAAAGGAAGTTAAAACATTTGAAAGAAGTCGCTGGTAAACGTGAAAGGATGATGGTTGCCATGGTAACCACGGTCGTTCAGCAAGGCCAAGAGCAAGACCTTGAACCTGGGACATCTATCGARGTATTCAAAGTGCCTATCACCCTTTCGACATTATACTTAGTATTGATTGCTTTGTCTTTTTCTAAATTTTCCTATCCCTATTCCTATGCATGAGGGAAATTTAGAAGACAACGCCYCGTCTCCCTCATGGACAACTCAATGTCCCTGCAACTGAATCGATTACATGTATCCTACTTATGATATTACTGCACGGTTTCAATGTGGGACGCGTTCTCAAATCTGCGCATGCTCAGTCATAAGATAAATTGAAACTTGTTTTTAGATTCTATTTTTGTTTTATTCCACGAATTTTCCCTCGTTATTCGGGGAAATTTAATCACTAATTTCCCTCGTGCCATGGTATTACTGAGAAATGAATGGAATGATGTGTAGGAATGGCTTGAGGCGGGCACGGGTTACTCACGTGCTATTTAACCTACTTTACTCCATACAGTGTATCCTTCACTGGCTATATTTRTGAGTAAGCATCGACACGTGAATCAAACAGATTGAACCTATTATTGGGGGAATGATTAACGAATGAATAAATGAAGTTTTCTTTTGGATATGCGCCATGCTYTTTTTATAAATAGAAGGAACAGCTGGATGAAAAATGTACTTTTTTTAMCTTGGGAATAAAAATAACTAAGGTTAGGATGGAGGAAACGTGTCGGAATGAARAAATTTAAGAATAAAATAATTATAAATAACTAGTTTGTAGGTAGAACATCTGTTGGACCTAAGTATAGTGACGGTAAAGATATATGACAAAATGTTAAATGATCGTTTATGATGCCTGTTTGTCACTCACTCCTACGCGAAAAAMATAACACAGCTTAAAAAAGGCTTACATTTATCAGGTTTACAACACGGTAAGGTAGTATTATAATGATCAKATCATATCGTCTTTTAAGTAGGCTTTACTGCCCTAGTTTTCATAGTTATTTGGTATTTATTACAAACGGTACAAAACTGAGTAGTATAACGATAAATTGACTTTATATAAAATAAGATTGAATGCTTTTGAAAAAACAATACAAACCTTACTGTCTTAGTTTTTTAGTCATTATTGGGTATTAATTTCGATTTAAAATGACTATTTTTGTGTAGTTTTTAGTTGTTTTTTTTATGAATCCGAAAGGCGCTCCGGTCTTAAAAACATACTACAGAGTCTTGCAGCAAATGAAGAGTAATTTGTCAGTCTTCAAATCATAGATTATTCATCAGCTTTTCTTATCACCGATCAAACTTAAGACCGCAATTATAATTCTTCTTTATTTTACTATAGATAAAATAGATTCCATTCCATAAAACAGATCCAGCATAAAGTTGATGTTTATTTTTTAAGAAAAGAAAAATGCGTCAACAATCAGTAAAGAACTGAATTTTGGCACGAATTAAACCGCCTCCGTTTTATTGTCAAAGCGGTAAATAAAGCATGCAAATTTTCATGTCTTTTTTTAAACGCTACTCGAAAATCCCCAAAATAGAAGTTTACAAATACAGCAGTAAATAACTCGCCTCTTCTATCTGTATACTGATAAGGGATCGATAGACGTGTTGTATATCGTGAACTGAATTATCTGATGAGAATCTTTACTCCGTGTATTTTATTAAAGAATAGCAAAGATAGCGTTAATTAGGAGAAGTCTTTAGAAAGTGAAAACCATTGCCTCGGACCGGGAGCGAAGTGTAAACGCGTAACAAACGAACGGTTTTATCAGGCTAATTCAGAAACTTTTCTCTTTCTTTATCTTCTTTAAGCTACTAAAGGAAAATAGACTCTGTTCGTTGGGAAACGCAACTCAGAATTTGAAGAAAAAAAATTCGAACCAGCAAAAGATCCGCTGATTGGTTAATACAGTCACGTGTTTCGTAGGAGACTGACGAATCCCCCCTCTCAAATTAAATCACGTGACAGAAGTAACCAATCAGTGGATAACTCGAATCGCCCCTCTTCTTCCCATGCCTAATGTTATTCTACACGGTCGTACCTTCACTCTTGGGCTTGACGAGCTCTGCTACAAGAAGTCTTTCTGTACTTCCGTCGTCCACATTCTTGGCAAGCCATCGGCCGCACGGAAACCTAAAATTAATTGATAATTATTATCATAATACTAATCATAATAATGGTGTTTGTTTCCCATATCATTAAAGACCCCGCACACGGTCCAATTAAGTGCGCACTATATAATGAACGATGCTATAGATGAAGAAATAGAAAATGCGCGCGCGCGTGCTGTGTGCAGTTAGTGCAGTTTTCGTATGACTGTGAAAAGTTCACKGMACGAACACGGTCGTGACACGGCAAGGCATACGCCAGACCAATCACATTGCACGAGAAWTTACTCTCCATCCAATCAAATACCCGGAACACGGCATAAACACGGCGCGGACACGGACACGTCAAGATCACGGCACTTTTAGAGCAATCATATTGCGCGTGGRAAAAAAATCAGCCAATTAAAATTCTAGAAAGTATCACGGTCACGGCACGTCAYRCTTACGGCACTGAGCTTTTCAMARTCATATGAAAACTGCTCCATAAAGCATGCGTGGGTTGGCAGAACACGAGAGAAGTGTTAGGAGAAGTGTTCTTCCAATACCCAAGTGCTTTTTAACTGTACACGGCACAGCAACCAAGTGCTGTCATTCACCTGTAAATATGCTCTGTTATTTCATTCTTGATGACTACTTGTTCTATCAACCAACTGGGACTCAGACCTACCAAGAATACAAGTCAAAGACACAARATGTAAATTAGATGGCGGATAATTTTCATAGCATACTAAATAGAAACACGGGCGAAAACGCATTGCGCATGCTCGGAAGTTTGGCAGGAAATTCTTGGACAAGTCTTGTTTCCAAAATAAAACCATTGGAAATTTTCTGACGTTTGGTGAATCTTTTAAAGTTATAAGGCCGTTCGTGAAAAGTTAGTGCTTTTTCTTYTCCTAACACATCACTTTAGTAATGAGAGAAATTTACACAATACAAACGCCTGTAAATCTTCAATAGTTTTAATTGTAAACACAACGCGTCTACGAATTTCCCGCCAAATTTCCGAGCATGCGCAGTGCGTTTTCATCCGCGTTCTGAATATATATATATGATTCATATATTTACCRGAGTTGTCGTGTCCTATACGTAGAGTTGTTAGAACACCAAGATTGGAATGCTGGTGAAAGTTATAACAGTATGCTTATAATATAAAATACGAGAAACACTGAACAGATAACATAAAACATTTACACCAACTATTTTTTTACAACTAAACCTATAATTCCTTTATTCTTCATTTTCAACTGAGCCATTCCGATAAAAAACTCATGGCAAAGGTTTTTTCTGGTGAACGTATTCCTTTTAGCTTTTTTAACCAGCTGATGATTTGCTCATTATGACTTTATTTGATCTATTTTATGCAACACGGGTGTGACAGACAGACAGACACACACACACAGATCGATAAACGGCGGACAGACAGACACAAACAGATTGACAGACGGACAGACAAACAGGGAGACAGACGAGCAGGCAGACAGACACTCAGAGAAGCCGATAGATACAAGGTAGCAAATGTATGCAGTATAATACTAGTGACATTACTATTCCTGCCTTCATGAGCATCGCGATCCTTACCCTCCCCATCCCTCCCCTGCCGTTCAACCACACAGGGAGCCCAACATACCTGAAATCTAAATTCATTTTCATTCTTAGGTAAAGGCATTACACTAGTATCCTTGACGTGTCCAGCTAGGGTCATCCAGGCGTTAGCTGTGGTTGATCCTCCACCCAACTGTTTGCCTGTTTTAATCACCACCTTGTACGTGATATCTAATAACAACAATAAATGGGACAATGCATTTTAACGCTTCGCCATAAAAGGAATGCTTAGGGGAGGGGGTGGGGCCAGAACTGGACCCGATTTTATCACTGTTTATTTCTGATCCACATCAACGTGTACAGGCGCGCAAAGATGCATGGGAATCAGTACGTAATCCCGTACTACTAGGATTGCGCACATAAAATAGTAAACACAATGAATAATCGATTTTAAAAATCTGATCGTAAAAAATTTCATAGCAATGCATGATAATACTCGTGTTCTGGTATCGTGGCCCGCCAAGTTYCTTAAATTTGGATGCGCACGCAWCCTTGAGAAAACGGTCAATTGTGAAAAGTGGGTCCAGTCCTACACTAGGGAGGGTGACTACACAGACATGCACAGTAAGAATGACACTGTGAGAGTAGGGTGTGTGTACTATAGGGAGCCCACTTTAGATACTGTAAAAGTAAAAAGTCAAAATAAATTTTGATATCTTGAGTGGGCTCCCTGTGTTATGTAGAGGATTTCTTACCAGTTGAAGTAAAGCAGTTTGTGAAGCAAAAGAAATCTACTGCATTCAAGGACAAGAGATGGTATAGGAACTGTTCTCTTTCTTCTTCTGTCCTCAGGAACGCATAATCTTTGTATCTCATCCTATATTTTAGTTTTCATAACTATATTAATTCAATAGTTTTTGTAAATTAACGATAAATAAACAATATTTATTTAGTCCGCTTATGAAAAAGGTTGTCATGGCAATAGCACACAACAGTTGCTATGGCAATATTATGCAAGCATTTTCATAGCAAYGGTACAAATGCATTATATCTATCTAAGCAGCAATTTCATTACAACTTTGACATTTWTTTATTCATTCTGGATTGAATTGCYRTTGTCGTAACTAGAAATATTGGTCATCATGATGGTCATGAAAACTGATGGTAATCTCTCATATCTCACCTTAGCAGTCTGTCATCACTCATGAGTTGTTTCAAGTGTTTTGATAGCACTTTCTTCTCTAGAGAAAGCCTGCAATCGTTAAATAACAACTTTTAGTTTAATCTAATGTCTTGGTCCTTCTTAATGTGATRTTTTGTCCTAAATGTTCATCTAGTCAACCTTCCAATATGGAGATCCAAGGGGGGGATGGTTTTGAGTAAGGTCTATCATTAACAAATGCCCTTTTTTCTCCCAGGGAGTAGACAGGCCTACCACGACACAAATCTACTTCCATCAGGGATGGATACCGATATTTAGTGGATATTTTCTAGGAGCCCCAAATGCCCTTTTTTCTCCCAGGGAGTAGACAGGCCTACCACTACACAAATCAACTTCCATCAGGGATGGATACCAGTATTTAGTGGATGTTTTCTATCAGCTGAAACTGTATGTCATAATTATGACCTATATCATGCAGCAGCCATGCACTAGTCAATTGAAATCACCACCCTGAACCCTGGGCGAGGAATTTCCATGGGTAAAGATTTTCTGTTTAAACTGTTGAAATTTTTGYTGTTGAAATTGTTAAACTATTGGAGTATGGGTTAAATACCCATGCATTCATGCTGTACRTTAAATGCGCATTAAATCGCTGGTCTTGCCATATCATTTTGCCGTCCTGTCCCAGGGGGAGGTTGTGAGTTTTAATTGACTAGTGCAAAAGAGACCATATTTTCCCCCACAAAAATAACGGCCTTTGTTTACACACATCCTGAAGAAATCGAACACAAGGCTACATAGAGAACCAATCTATTGTTTCAACAATTGTGCATKTGGCCATGGCATTACTGGGGGAGGGGAGGGACAGTGACAAAACAATTATGGTTCAATCGGTTTTCAAAACGTTAAATATCATCCACAAACTGAGTGCTGTTGGGAACTTGATATGAGATRGCATTTTAAAAACATTCCTGAGGTTATTTAATAATTTACAGCTTATCAAACAATAAATATTAAATAAATCAAACCTACCTGGCCCAAGATCTTGCATGTCCAATATCTGTCTTGATTTCAGACATTTTCTGCACATGTCTGAATATAAATATGATAGAGCTCAGTTAGAAAAGGCTTAACTAAAACATCTACTCAGTTACTAGGTTTATAAGTCTATGATTGAAGATATGGAATATTTTTGTTGCTTGAAAGAGGTATTTTTGAGTACTCAAAGGTCTCAGTAAAAAAGGATGTACAACTTGTTGTGCAAGGTCGTTGCATTGCAAGTGCCAGAATGAATATTTTACCACCCTGTTTGCTTTATGCAACCAGCAGTGGCATATTTAGGGGGGTCCTAGGGTGCCCGTGACCCCCCTTTCTAAGGCACAAAAGGGATAAAAAAGAGCAAATGGTACCATAGTCTTATGACGTCATAGTAAAAGTTTGGTGTGTTGGGAYCCCCTTGAACCAGGTCCTGGTCTCTAGAGATTTTGACACTCAGACATCAAGATACAAATTAAGTTTTATACAGTACAAACTAAAACAAAGAATCATTATAATAGTACAGTCCCCTTCACGGTTTCCTGCGCCATCTTGAAAGGTAGCCATGCCTTTGCATGGAAGCGAGAGACAGATAGAGACCTTTATTAACACCTTGGACAATTATTCACAGGTCTCTATCATTGCAAGCTCACCGTTCGTCTYRCTTCSATGCAAAGGCCTGGCTACCTTTCAAGATGGCGCAGGGAACTGTGAAGGGGACTATTAAGTGATTTTCACCTCATGTCGGCAAGAACAGAGCTGGACTGATGTAGTGGTTGCATCATAGCAAGAATGTCAGTTCCTGTGCTTCTTCTCCTCAGGTTTAGCTGCTTGGAAGGTGAGTCCAGGGCTGCTTTGGAAATTCCTGGAAAAGAACAACAGGCAGTTGCATTACTGCTTGTTAATTCCCGCTGGCTATACACCTTTTCATGGGTTGAATAGAGTCGCTCTGCTTTCATAGTATTTATATTACGAATTTTATTGTATATAAATAGAATCGTTTTACCTTTATAGTACTTATCTTAGCATAATTTCATTGTATATTTGTTTTTTTTTGTTTTTGTTTTTTTTTTTATTGTCTTATTTTAGGGCCTCTATTGATAACAGTTTTTTACAGTTTTGTAAATACTGAGAGAGTTACCCTGTTTAAATAAAGGAATCTATCTATCTATCTAATTTGAAATAAGCTGGAATAGAATGTATGATATAATAAGTCATGATCTGTGAGTTAGCTATGTCCTGACTGTAATTAGCCCACCCAGACTGATCTCCACAAACTAAGATATTTTGTCCTCATTCTTATGCTATAATCTCTGAGAACAAGCTGGAAATTATCACAAAAACTTGCTGAAATATGTAAAATATAGCCTGCATAGCAGCATTCTATGAGAAGGTGAAGGGAAAGGAAATAAAAGGGGGACTGAGGAACGGAAAGAGAAGGGAAGCCCAGTAAACCTAAGCCTTATTAATATAAAGTAATGTATGTTAAAGTTTGATGTACCTGTTGGAGACAAGAAGTTGGGGTCTGCAGGTGCTGAAGGTCCATCCTCATTGCTTTCACACAGACACTGATAGGCCAAAAGGTGAGACCACARCGATGATTTACCCTGTGAAAAAATGAAAAATTTGAAAAATGAATRGGATGAATGGATGGGCTGGATTAGATGATAGGTAGATGGAATAAGAAATGAATAAACGAAACAAATTAATGGATGAAGGAATAAAATGAATGAATGAATAAATGAATGGATGGATGGATGGATAGATTAATGAAGGAAGGATGAAGGAATAGAATGGATGGATGGATGGATGGATGGATGGATTAATGAAGGAAGGAAGGAAGGAAGTAGGGAGGGAGGGAGGGAGGGAGGGAAGGAGGGAGGGAAGGAAGGAAGGAAGGAAGGAATTGATGGATAGTTGGAGATAGCAACATTAATTACAAGGAAATTGCCGAATGATGATATGCATGAAAAGCAAAGCTGGTCAGGGTTGATATCAACTGAATGTATATGTTGTACTTGTCTAAGCAGTACCTCTTTAGTCTGAAGACCATGGCTAAATACTCTCTCCAGTAAATCACATAGACTTGCAATAAGCGTATTCTCCTCGACACCAGACACACTTGCATCTGTGTGACCTAAATCAACTGCTTCTTGGCCCATCTTCTGAACAAGCATTCTCTTGGTCTACAAGTGAATCAAAGTCAAAACATCCAAAATCAATATTTAAAATATTACTGATACCCTGAAACGACTTCTGAACTGATCAAAGTCRAGGCATRRCWAGCTCCCAGATCCAACCTGGGCTGATCTGAGAGAGGCAAGGGTAACTTACAGATTGAATTGGAATATAGCAAGWTGGAYCTTGCAGAGGAAAGAAAACTAGAGAATCTGGAGGAAACCCTCAAATCAGGAAAAGACCCAACGAACCCTACTCACATGTGAGGCAGAGTCCAGGAATCAAACTCACGACACCAAAGTTGAGAAGTTGTGCTGCCTGAGGTTGTGCTGTTGTCATAGTAATCAAGCACCTACATGCACTCATGTACATACTTTGAGTTCAAATAAATAACTGATATTTAGCTCCCCCTCTGCAATCTCTACCTATCCTCACCCACCCTTACCCTACCCTACCCCACCCCACCCCTCCATGAGAATTTTACTTCMATAACTTTGTTACAAGCAATGCGCACTGACAGCACTTTTACCTTTTGTCTACACTCTTTCAGAAGTTTCTGGATGAATGCATTCTGGGTTGTCTCAAGGGCTGCCATATCACCAAGTTGACTTTGGCTGGTTTTTGTCTTTGATTCTTGCATGAATTTCTAAAAAATAATATAACATTTGGCTGTTTTAATAAAGACAATTTGATATTATAAACACAACTGGAATTAGTACAAAGTGGAGTGAGGGCCAAATGGGGCTTCTGCATGGTTTTAAAATTCCATTTATCTCCTCACCTCATTCCTTCCCTTTTGAATTGAATTGAATTTGTCTTCATTTACTCATGTGAAAATATTATTAACACATAGAGCGCAAACAATTTAATCCGTGAAACACTAATTACTAAATAGTACAAAATAGTGCTAATTAAACAATAGAAAACAATGGAATTTGCATGAAATTGTGCTATTTAGTATTACTAAAGTTTCACRGTTATATTGTTTGCACTCTATTCATTTTTAGACTAGATGATCTATTTACAATCTTATATGAAAACATTTTCATTTACAAAAAATAAGTACTAGTATTATGTTTGAGCCTGGAGGCTGAGTTAACTTTTCTCTCTTTTTTTCCTTTCATTTTTTTATTTTCTTTTTTCTTCTCTTCTCATTCGTTCTCTTTCATTTCTCTCAATATTATTTAATCTCTTATACTTATTTATTTTCTCTTTTCTTTTTTCTCTCTCTCCTTTATTTTTATTTTTTGTTTTTTGGACTGGCAATGTACAGACTGAGGGAAGTATAGTACTGTCATTCAATAGGCTTTTTTGAGCTTGTAATCTAAATTTTGGTCATCAAAAACATATCAGACAGTTTATGTTCATTCTGATTAACGTGAAAAAAATGATAACAAAGCATGAGGAATTATGATAATACTGACTATATGTCTAACTCACAAAAAAATTCATTCTCTCTAGGAGGCTACTCCGACGAAGGACTAGTGTCTGAAATGTCAGTAAGTTTTTTCATCTTTTCACGGTGTATAATTTACCTAATTTTATCATTACTGTTTCATTAGAAACACCGATACAGCTCACACTAGTTTTTAGYTAGTTATATCTTCTTATAGTAAACTATAGTGCTGCAGAATAAATTACTCTAATGTTCTTGAGCCATGAAACTACCTTTGGGCTAATCAATATCAGGGCATGGCTAACTCATAAATCAAATCGGAATTTAGAATGGGAAACCATTCTTCACTGGCATTGCCAAATTTATCCACAGACTCAACTGATAAGTAGTGAACTAAAAAACTAAAAAAAGGCTTTATTTCCATAGCGAGAAGTAATGAATTCAATCCATATCTGCCATTGTGTAGTGATTTTGAATTCATAAGATTATCTGCTCAATACAATTCTTGAAGCATAGTAGTTAGTAGTATTAGCATAAMGTACTGGCATAGAATATGATCTCCACTATCGTACAATACCTTTAAGCTGATTGCCAATTTATCTCTCATCTTTTTTCCATCCTGAAAACCAAAGACAGTAATAACCAACATTTAGAATAAATAAATAAATAAAAACAATATTATTTAGTAAATTATTTCTAATCTAAGAACTGCTCTAATACCTAATGAGCATGAGAATCAAGTGTTTGTAAGCTTATGAGCAGTTAAAATAATATTTTGTCTGCCATAGAGATAAAGAATTTCAACATTTAATTAAACCTAATTAAGTTTTATGGATTTGGACAAATGTTTGGATCAACACATCACTCCTTAGTAAATATTATCACAAAATCTCCAAATTATTCAACATCAAAAATGAGTTTTTTAAATAATTATTTTAAACTAATGGAAAAACTATAAATTTAAAASCTGCATTATTATAGCATTATCAAAAATAAATCCAACATCTACTTAGAGTCAAAAAATTTGGTCAAAAAATATTTCTATAATCAAGTTTATTAGCTTGAAATGAAAGGGAAAAATATAGAAGGAATTTATATATTTTATGTACATTAATTTTACAACCATGTTTTTGTAAATTATAATTATTACTTTTAAGGTCAAGACATTGTGTATTGAAGCTTAAAACTGCAATGTCTAGTTCTCAAAAATAACAAAAATTCATTCAATTATAACTATTATACAATGTCCCATCAATTGTTTTCCTAACTCAATGAAATTCCTCCTGAGTGAGTGAGAGAACTGTGTGACAGTAGGGAAATTAAATCTTAAAAAATATATCATATCACTTACTTACTGCTAAAAAAACATTCAGGACTTTTATTTGATGTTTTGATATCTTGAAAACGAATCTTACACCAAATAGATTGTATTAGTTAGGAGATTCTATCATTTCAAGTCTCACAATTCTAAGGGTGAAATACCAATACATAGCTCTACTGCTGCATAATATTAGAAACAGAGAGAGTTTTGGATTATAATTCTAAATATGAGGTCAATGAGGTCATTCACATGCAGACAGCATTTATAAGATACCTAATATCTTGGTAAAAAATACAAAATAATCTCTCTCTGAATACAAAAAAAATATGGTATTTATTCACAGTAAAACACTGACAGAATACATGATAGATGCCCAGATATATTTTGCTACATACATGTGGTATCTATTTACTGTCTATTCAATAAATATTGCCAGTAACTGGATGTGTGACACGACATATAATGTATATACATATATATATATGAGGAATGAAAACCCTTCAAGGGTGTGGCATCAGGTGAGGCTAAAAATAGTGCAATAATAACAMAAATATTTTCACATCAAAAAAGTACTGTTGTTGTCTATACTATTAAATACACAATAACCACTGTCCATCTACATTAACATGTATGCCTGTCCATCTACCTGTCTGTCCATCTACCTGTCTGTCCATCTACCTGTCTGTCCATNCTGTCCATCTACCTGTCTGTCCATCTACCTGTCTGTCCATCTACCTGTCTGTCCATTTGCCTGTCTGTCTGTCCATTTACCTGTCTGTCCATTTGCCTGTCTGTCTGTCCATTTACCTGTCTGTCCATTTACTTGTCTGTCTGTCCACTTACTTGTCTGTCTGTCCACTTACTTGTCTGTCTGTCCATTTACCTGTCTGTCTGTCAATTTCCCTATCTGTCTGTCCATTTGCCTGTCTGTCTGTCCATTTGCCTGTCTGTCTGTCCATTTRCCTGTCTGYTTGTCCATTTACCTGTCTGTTTGTCCATTTGCCTGTCTGTTTGTCTAATTGTAAACCAGGTATGTCCATTGACTGGTCATTACCATGTAAATGTAATTAACTATAGCTTACCTTGGAKGTGTTTAATAGAACATGCTCAGAATGACGTTGCTTCCTACCGTGCTTCTTCCAATYGACCTTTTTTCTATTAAAAGAAATACCATAAAAAATAAATCACCTTATTTTTTTTGAGTTCGGTAGCTTAAAAAATCGTGCGTTCTGATTGGCTGTTTGAGCGGGCGGTATTTTGTCAGTATCTGCCCACGCTTGTGGTCGGGTATCCTTTGCCGCTAAACAACAAAACAAAACGATTACAAAAACAAGTAGAAAAAATACAGGAAAAAAATTAATAAGTTATTTACCGTCSTATAGTTGGTCCAGATGGGGGGAAACCACGCCCTTGGTCTTGAAAGTGGACCTCGGCCTATGGCCTCRGTCAGTATATTGAAGACCTCGGGCACAGTTTTTCCCTATCCGGACCTCCTGGCCAGGAAATAAAATATATATCTTCATCGCCATAAATACCATAATTACTGTCAACATCATCATCACCATGATGGAAAGCTTGAGTGACACACATGTATTATTGGTGAGAGTGCTTTATGCAGAATGTGAACCAAGTTTGATTCCCAGACTTCCCAGAGTAATTATTTTGCTTGTTGGTTCTCTCCTGTGCTTGGAGAGTTTTTCTCTGGTCTCTCTGATTTCCCYCTCTTTTCCTCCCAAAAGTCAACTTCTAAATTGCCCTATTTCACTATGACGTCACATCAAAACAATCTATTGTTTAAACGCAAAGGATCATGGTCGTCGGACGGGGTCAAATCAACACAAATTCACCAAAAATTGTTCTAAAACCCGTATCAATCCACGAAGAGAAGTAGAATGGCCAGCAAACGMTCAGAATATTTTTTAATACATATTAACACATATTATATCTGAAAACCAGGCCATTTTAGATTAAACTGTTTCGCTAGGAGCAAATTTTGTTGAATTTTCTATTGGATTTGGCRATTCTATCCCCCACATAAACAAGCAGTGACGTCATAGTGAAATAGCTGGGCAATTCAAATTGGAATSCAGTAGAAGTGTACTATTCTAGACTGTGAAATTCACTGTCAATTCCCATTTACTTATTTATTTATTTATATTTTTATTATTATTTTATTTTACTTGACCATCTACACCATTGATTTGTCATCAACCATTATTCTTATCATTCTTACATTACATTTTTTAATGTYTTTATTTACCCTTTTCCTTGTGGCCCATCAGATAAAGCATCAGAATACAAATTCATGAATAACTGTTTTCCATTCCCTTCAAAACAATAACAGAAATAACAATCAGTATTAATAATATGGATCAAGAATAGTGTGTTTTTACAAATTAAAGCTAATCCAAACGTTGCACAGAAATGACCAAGGAAACAATACTAATGATTAATGATCTATATAGCTTTATAAAATATTTGAAATATTATAACATACTCAATGATTTGCTGGCTACCACATTATTTTATATCAGAGAACAGAGACTCGATCACTTAAAATTGATCAAAAAATATTTTWTAATAAAGTGTAATATAAAATGGCTTGCTTATGTCTCTGTACTGTGGAATAAACACTCTGGGAGCTGTAGAACATGAGAGAAGCAAGAGAAACACTTGGCTACACCTTGTGTTCCTAAGCTTGCTTCTCTAGTGCTCTACAGCTCCCATTGYGTTTAAATATCAACGTACRAAGAYATGCATGCACGTTTTATATCTTTAAATATAAATCATAAATCATTATCWTTGAATCWTATGAAAACCTACCTTTCTTAGGTATATAAATATTATGAGGTACTACTGCCAAATAATCCACTGAATTTGACCTCTTTAACAGAACCTGAACTGCAAAAGTTTAACAATATCAAAGTTTGAGTAYCAAAAGGTCAGATTACAATCCAACAATACATGTTCATTACCACTGTTTTCATTCCTATGCACGACATTGAAATCAGACAATGCATGCGTCAATCAAATAAATCTCTAATTCTCAAATCTCTCAATTTTTTCATGATCCTTATGTACCTTTA